TGGTATCATCAGCTGGGCCTTAGTTGGTAGGCGCTGAGCTGGCACTAATAGCTAGGTCATGTTACGCTCTTCCTGGACATAAACTGTCTCACAGAACACCAATATCACACAAGGTCACTCTGCCACTGCGATGAAGTGAGACACAACAAGAGCACTTCATAATACTGTCTAAGCACACAGAAAAACAAGCTCCTCCTGTAAACCACACCAAACCAAACATCCCCCTCTCCTGGCTAATAAGAACGACTAGCTTCTTTACCAATTCAAGAATTAGCTTCACTGTAGTCTTCTTCCCTCTAGATAAAATTTACTAAGTTACTCAATCACACAATTACCACTGTCCCTGAGGGTGTCGTCTCCCTCACTGCAATGAGCACTAAAAGGAATTTATTCAACTATAGATGCATACCCAGTGGTCTCTGGCTGTAAAGCATTGACATAGGTATGTATATGAAGGAGAGAAAAGAATGTGGTCTGGCTGTTGGTGAAGTTTTATGGCCTCCATTTTCCAAGACACGTGATTATTGCCTTGGTTCACCCTGATTTATTGAACCACACGGCTAATGCAATGGAAATGGTTTGACTTTCTGTTTTCACATGTGTTTGACTGCTTGGCACTTCTCTGAATTTAATGCTGAGCTTCACACTAATCATGACCTTTACATGTCGACTGGCAGTCACATTTCCAAAATAAAAAGTCTAGTATACCATTAAAATGTCAGATTATACCATGTCTATTGTCTGTGTGCATTTCAATCTTGCAACATTGATGACAAATATTTAATGCTAAACATTAAAAGGCTAATTTGGATTTTCTGGAAATAATATAAAGTTCTTTGTAAATAATGACTATTTTTTTGGTTTAATAAATGAAAATTAGACACATTTGAAACAACCAATGCATATAAATTTAAGACTGAAATACAATATTAGTTTTAAGAATATACAGCATTATTAAAAGGCCAATACAATCTCACAAATGTGTACTGAATATTGTTTACTTTAACAAACTATAATATAGTAAATGAAATTGGGGCACCTTTAGACAGCACGTTAAGTCAAAGATAAATGTTGCCAAATACTTATAACTCTGCTCCACTGAAGAAAATAGAATTAAACAGTATTTTTCATTCATAGGAATTACAATGGTTGCTTCATGAACAAATGCTGAAATAAACATGAGTTAAATAATAAGACATTATTTTGTAGAACAGAGCTCCTTTGAAGAGACAGTTCAAAATGCTCCAATGTCAAGATTTTGTTCAAAGTGCAGTCAAATGAAAGCACCTAGTCCTGTCAGAAATTAAACTTTCCACTACAAAATGTTCTGTGGCTGCTCTTGAAGTCACCAGGTGATTACACGATGATAAAATGTCCATTAGCAATCATATGTAGAAATTGAAGCAAAGGGACCAAAAGAATGACAGAGAGGACACTTCATCAGAGGCATGGTCCACTGAAGAAGAGGCTATCACTAAGGCATGAAAAAAATGGTTCCTTGGCGACAAACATTATTTACCGCTACTGATAAAAGGGCTTAATCAGCACACACCATACAAAGAGCTGCTGGAAACAAAAGGATGAGTGTGTAAGAGCAAACATACCTCCAGGAGTACTAAACAGGTTCCCTATTTACCTGGGACAGGTGTCCACTCATCACATGGAAAACGCTTTCTGACTTTCATAACACTTACAACAAATCACCATATATTGTGGATTTTTCAAACACACGATGGGTATCTTTAAAAATTTTTTATTATTATTACTATTTTTTAATAGCGGCTCCCAGCAACTGTCTGTAGATAGGAAATGAAACTTTCCCAAACCTTGACTGACTGCCTGGCATCATGTACTTACTTGTTGGCAAATTCATAAAAAGTCCACGGTGAAGACATCTCAGTCTGCTCTCAGTGCTAAACTGGGGTGTGCTGATCAAAAGTGTGTGACCCTGCATACTTCAATTCGGGCACTTTCTGATGTCAGACCAAACACCCGTTTGACCACAGCAGTCACCAGCTCAGCCATTTCCCATGACTCTCTAAGGCCAAGAGAATGAAGTCCTAAAATATGGTCCTGATACTCAAAGCCCTTATTGGCCAGGCCTTGGAGCCCACTGCTGCCAACTTTACCACTCTAAACTCCCAGAAATACCTGCCTCTGTCTAGGGGAAGTTTCCCTTGCTTGTCATGCCCGTCGGATCTCCATCATTGCAAAGTCCTTCTAATTAGAGAGATGTATCAGACCTGTTGTAACGAAAATGTAGGTGCTGATAAAAAACCACAGTGGATCAGGAATCAACTTGTCATGCTGGCTTTACTGCTAAATTCTCAAGAGTTGCTGGGAAATCCATGAACAACTAGAAAAGTATTTGTTGCCACATTGGCTTGATCGAGGACAAACTTTCCAAAATAAGGATGATTGAAAGTTGCCAACTGATAAGTTTACCGAAAAGATGTGTTCAGTGAGGCCTACTGCCTATTGTCTACAGTGTTTTCTCCTTCAGTATTGAAGGAGAATTTCACAGCATACAGAATTCTAGTTAGAGTGCATTTGTTTTTTTCTTTTCAACATTTTAAATACTTTACTCCATTCTCTTCCTGATTGCATGATTCCTGAGAAATTGGCTGTAATTCTTACATTGGCTCCTCTATAGGTATTTTTTTCCCTTTGGCTTCTTTCAAGATTTTTTCTTTGTTTTTCTGCGTTTTGAATATAATATGCCTAGATATAAAGGTTTTTGGCATTTATCCTCCTTCATATTCAAGTTGGGGAAATTTTCAGCCATTATTACTTCAAAGGAATTGTTTAAAGGAGGGATTTTTTGGAAATATTATTGATGAACAACTACCATTCTGTAAGCAATCTAGAAGCACTAATGAAACCACTGTGATACTATAGCCTAACTGGTTCATCCTTTAGTATGCATCAGAATCACACGGAGGGCTTACTAAAACAGATTGCTAGGCCTCACCCTCAGTTTCTCAATCAAAAGGTTGGGGTGCAGTCCTATCCCCCACAACACCCCTGCACTAAGTTGCAAGCATGGTCAGACTTTACCAACGGAGCCGGGTTAAGTAAAGTCCCACTGTTGACAGGTTAAAAACCTGGGGCACTGAGTGCAACTTTCTCAGTCCAAGTTAACCTAAGTGAAATCATTCAGTTTCTCACAGACATCCACAGTTACTAACCATGGAAACCTGTACTCAGGTATACACTGAACATGTAAAGTGTCTCTTTCCACCTCAGCCATTCAACCAACCCCTGTATTTGTTCCAGAAGACATGAACTGGTAAGTTATTATATATTCAATACCTGGAATAGGGTAGAAAATATATAAAACCTGAAACTGTCTCTTTACTTACACACACACACACATTCATTCATTCATTTATTTATTCAAATAATATTTGTTATCTGTTATTTTCCAGCCACTGTTCTAGACTCTGAGAACACAGCAGTGAACAATTAAGAAGCCCACATTCTGAGACAGACTATATATATTATGTTGGAAAAATGCTACTGAGAAAAAATAGAGTGAGAAAAAGGACTGAAGCATATGCAATTTTAGAAAAAAATACTGGGAAATCTTCTCAGATAAAGTGATTAGTTGAGCAGGGACTTGTGTGAAGTGGGAAAGAGAATGAAGGTATCCAGGAAGTAATGCTCGAAGCAGAAGCAATAGGAAGTGCACAGGCTTTGCACAGGCATGGGACTCAGCATTTTGAAATACAACGAAAGGGCCAGTGCCTATAATGCATTATTCTGAAAGATGCAGCAAACTATGAAGTTAACTTGCATAGGCCATTCTGTTAGTAAATATAGAACCATAATAATTTTATAACAAATGAACATATCAATTTCTAATATATGTACATATTTTATAACACTAAAGTGTTATGTCTCAGTAATTTGCATCCATTAATTTGGAGTAATTATTTGCACCTTGTTTTCTATTTTTTTGAATGGGCCAAATACAGTTTTATAAGATATGAATCTTGTTAAGTTGTAGTTTCAAGGTAAATTGTTTGATATTATCAGCATGTCATTCAGAAGGTAATAAAATATTCTATGTTTACCGTTCCTTAATCTCAATATGTCAGTTATATATTTCAGTCTTGATGTCACTATTTTGCTAATGTCCTTAAGTAAAGAGCAACTGTAATGCAAAGTCTCATTTTAAATCAAAATCTACACAGGTTAGATTCAACTGAGGGTTTGGTATAAAAAATAAACTTAATTATCATATGTTAAGTACAACCCATAACAGGTCTGAACATGAACAGGTTTGTATATACTTGAAACAGGGAAGCTGAATTGAAACCAAATCACCAACCAACACGCACACTGCCCTCCTTCTCAGTGCAATCAATGCTGATGATGAAAAAAACACAGCCACACTAGCAAATTGGAACGTCTTCAGAAGAGGTAAGGCTCTTAAGGTAGAAATTTGTAGCACCTAGTTCCTTGAGGGCAGAACCCAGGAGTACCCACCTGGCCACTGGAGCAGGTCTATCTACAAATACCCACTTGTCTCGTGAAAAATATGACCCTAATATGACCTACCTCCCCCCAAATTCATGAAGCCTTACTGCACTTAGCGATTTCAAACATGACTGTCCCACCACACGGAAGATGTTTTCAATCAATTTTAACTTGATCTCAACTAATTACATACAAGGTATGAGAGAGAAGTGTCAACTAAATTTAATACCTTATAAAGCTGAAAATGCCAGCAATGACATTAAGGCTATCTTTAATTTCTAGAGCATCTCTACATAATTTTTATCATCTATTCCTCAAAATAAATTGAAGAAACGCCTTTTATTATTTTCATTTTACATGTGAAGAAACTGGTCTTGAAGATGTTAAGAGGCATTTTTTTGCAGAACAGAGTACATGCTGTAGTCAGGTCTAGAATCCATGGATTTTAAGTCCAGTTGCATGGCTCCTTCTACACTGTCACAGTAAAATTTGCAGTATTTAAAGAAAGAAGTTCTTACCTTTTTGACTGTTTTTCCATATAATATGTCGGGCATTCTCATAATTTGTATTCATCCAACTAAGAAGAATCCTTTCAGAATTAGAATATATGTTGCTGGACATGAAACAAGGATTGACTTTTTGTGAATGTTGCCCATGTATGGGGGGCATATTACTGCTGCAACGTGGTACAACCCGGGATAGTACCAGAACCTGAAATTGGGTAAAAGAGAGAAAGTGATAACTTTCACTAGACTTGAATGTGAAATTTTTTTAAAATTATTATTTGAAGAGTAAATGACGAAATATGACAAGTATAAAGGAAGGCATCAGCATTTTGTGGTTAATCACATCAATTCATAAGTAAAAGAATAGATCACATGACTCCTTAATGCTCATTTTAAACTCCCAAAATTTTGCTTCTATAGCATCTTGTCTATAAGGCCCCCCATTATGTAATTCACAAAAAGAAGCTTATTACCTAAGGGCTCTGGTCACCAATTTCCAGTCTGTGTACTGGGGCAGGGGTGGGGTGTTTCCGCACATTACCAAGCAGTTCTCCAACACCAGCTGGGTGTCCTGTGATTCAACTCAATTCTGACACTATCTACCCAGAGAAAGCATTAGATTTCACAACCTAAGGGCTCAGTCCCACAGTACTGCCCTACACTTCAGATGGCACTTGCAAGCCCAGGTTGTTACCTGACCAACTAGCTACAGATTAAATAAAAGTTTCTACAGCCCCCTCCTTTGGTTCAATTAATTTGCTAGAGCAGTTCACAGAACTCAGCAAACCCACCTCATTAACATGAACCCAGTAGTAGTGTAAAGAGGCTTGTTAGGAATAACAAGACAGCCATTTCAACTTTTGGGCTCCGAACTATTTTAGGAACAAAGCAAGACAGGGCAGAGACATGGGACAAATATCACGATTAATTTTCCTAAAAATGCCAAGATAGATAGCATAGTAAGAACAGGAGGGACTCCATCTTAAGGCTAAGATTCCACTTTAAAAGCAGAGAGCTGGGAAGTAAGATTCCTAACATATTCTTTGGTAATCAGCCAACAACCTATCTTAAGGCAAAGCAAGTAGTCTTAACTGATATGTTCCCAATGCTTGAGGAAAACCACTGTCTTGGAGAGGAACAGGATCAATAAATTCCTTGTGCTAAGTTTATCTTATAGAGTTATCTGGAAGACAAAGGCTGATGAGATAGTGTCTCTCAACAGAGACAGACATCATGAGACTGGATGAAAAACCTACATATCCCGCTGGCTCTTTATCCCATTCTTAAAAATCCTTAAAAGATAGAATCACCAGCTTTTAAGCATGCCTCCTCTCTGAAGTTGCCCACACTCCCCTTTCTTTGAGTGTGTACTTTTTGCCTTAAATAAAGACTTCTCACTGCTCAACTTACTGCGTCTTATCTCTGTGCTCTTCCAGTCAGTAGTTCTCTATTTCACCCTATTTTCCAGACTTGAGCACAAGTCTTCACTCTCTCTGGTCTACTCCAGGCAAGTAGGAAGATCTCTGATTTGGGCTTGCAAGTTCCTGTCACCTGGGTGACCCAGACAGGACTACAGCTGTACAAGCATGATCTTTAGTAGCCTGCCCAAAAAGTCTCCTTTCTTTGCCTTTGGGAAGTTTTCAGAATGTAAATTCACTCCATCCAGTGCCCTGTGGCTCCCCCAAATCCTGAGGTGGTAGGGGCTTAGTTCCCATGCCATGTAGATAAAAGCAGACACTGGACACCAGGTGACCCAACTTCAGAAATAGCAAGGGATTTGTTTGGTGGAGAGCAAGAGTTGAATGAACTTCCTTTTCCTCCTCTGTTTTTCTTTGCTCTCTGCTGCCTGCCTGGCTGCTGCCATTCCCTGCTACTCTCATTTTAATGAATTTCTTTCTTACCTACATTTGTCTGACCTGCTTGAGAATTCTTTCTTGTTCAGAGTCAAGAACCCTCCCCTATCCAGGTAGAGGTTTCACTTAGTGCACAGGGAGAGATCTTGTTGCTGGTAAGCAGAAACTTCCTGTACCAGGACTCAGTCCTTTTGTTATAGTAGGTAGATATGTGGATACAAGCAGGGAGAGGGAGGAGGACTCTGGTAGGATGCTTGCTTACATTCTACACATTCCATGCAAGCTGTTCTCAAGATATGAGGAGTGAGAATATAGGTCACAGACCAGCCAAAACCAGCTGATTCCAACATGGAGGAGAAACTGACAGAAACTTCACCCCATAATCCATTAACATAGTAAAATTCATTCCACTCAATCATTAGCACAGTGAAAATCACACCTCCCTGCACCATGACAGTTCCGATGGGAACAAAATATAGTCAAAAATCCCTCCACCCAACTTGAGGACGAAGCAAGCCGAGACTCCAAAAAATACTGCACTCTGCTTAGTGAATAACCATCTCCCTTTACATAAAAAAGTTTACCATTGTTTCCTTTGTGCAACTCCCTTTGGATCTGCCTGCACCCAACTTTCTAGCATGTACTTTTGTCTTTCTCTCAACTTTTATTCTCCAAACAAACTCCTAATGCTCAGCAGTCTTTTTTGCATCTTTTCTTGAATTCTTTCTCAGCAACAAGACCAAGGACCCATTTCCGGTAACTCTTTTTCTGGCTAGCATCTGTAATGGCTCACTACACCTTTTTACTTCAGAGATTGCTCAGTGTCTAGAGTTTTGGACTTCTCAATTCCTGTAGATCCACAGTGGGACTGAGCCTCAGTGGCCCATGGTGTAACCTATTGAAACCTCATCCATTATTGGCTTCCCTAAATTCTCTGATTCAATTCATTAATCAAATACCCATGCTTCTTGGGATTACCTCTGAAATAAATGACTTAGCCAAACACTTATCTCAGAGTCTGCTTCTAGGAGAATAAAATCTACAAGTACTTTCATGGTCAAGTATATGTTGGTGGCAACTTTGGAAAAAAGTGCTCATTTATTTACATATGATATATCTGTGCTATGTCATCTCAAATGACTACAGTTCCAAAATTATTAACATCCTCTGAGAGTTCCAAAACTTTGATTCTTTGCTACTATGGGAACTATTTTTAAATTTCATGAAAAATCCATTTCGGAATTTTGGATATTTATCTGGTATATGTCTGGTAAGAATAGTCATTCATAACTGTAAATTGCATCATTTAGGAACTTTTTGATAGAAGTGAAACAAAACTGTCACCTTCTTTCATTCTGGCAGCTGTGTGATTTGATCTTCAAATGACATATTCTATAACAATGCAATTAAAAGCCTTTGAAAAGGACCCCTTCCCCTTTCTCAGGGAATACCAGATGATGAATCATCTGAATACAGCTGAGATAAATGTTTGAGGTTAATAACCTGAGCTGGCTCAGGACTCATCTGTCATTTCTTACCTCCACTCTGTAAATGAGACGAACTCTGCCTGTGACCTGTGACTAAATGTGGATTTGATGGTGGAGCCACATGGGGGATGGGTCTGATCTTTAATACAAGAACCACCACCTTCAGTACTTAATTCTACAGCAGTGCTTCTCAAACTATCAGTGGTGAAAGACCTGTTAAACTCTGCCAGAAAATGAAAATTTTGTAAAATACTCTAAAGATAAATTTCTAGAAAAATGAAATGAAGCATAAAAAGACATACAAAATATAAAACTCTATCACAGGCAAACCCAAATCCACTTTGTGTAAGAAGTGTTGCTAGTACTTTTTGCTTAACAGCCGATCCACAAGAAGTGTGAGGTAAAGGAATGGAATGAGGACTAGAAAGGCCAGAATGCCTTTTTAGCTGTGCCAGCTAAACTATGAACATTGGGTAAATAAGTTTAGTGGTCTGTACTCAGGAACGGCTTCCCTGCCCTCACAAAATGTTTGGATATGTCCTTCATATTTTAAGATCTGATTCAAGAAATGTGAGTGATAGCATCCCTGCAAAGTCAATATACTGGCCATATGGTGGAACATAGTCCTTGACTATCCTACTATAGCACAAGAAAGTACTTTGAAGACTCAAAAACAACAATGCCAAAACTACAATAATGCTGTATCTTTAGGGCTCTGCACACAATTTCAACACACAAAGCGTGAGGGAGCAGAGGTTTCCCCACACCAAGAAGTTATTCCTGCATATGAGCAGGGTGTCACAATTCAATTCTGACACTATCGACCTGGAGAGACCATCAGATTCCATGGGTTGAGGACTTAGTCCTGCAAGAATGCACCCTCAACCTCTCCCCACATCCCACCACAAATGCAGATGCCAATTGAAAGTCCCACCTGTTACCTTGTACTTCTGACCCACTGGCTTTGCACTGGATTTTCAAACAGCTCCCTCGTGGCACTTCAGTTCAGATACCACTGCAAGTCCAGGTTGTTACCCGTACTTCTAGACTGGAGTCTCTTTATACCATTAACTTAAGGAATTTAGAGAAGCATGCCAGATCCAAGGTAACTGAGAATTCAGTTGAGTATTATACAGTAGACCAAGCACCCATACCTCATTTTTAAGGTATTTTATTAAGTAATGAATGATTAGTCATGAGGGGGAGCAGAATACATCCATCCCAAACTGTGCCACTTTGGCTTGTGGATTGTTTTGAGCTGAAGGCAATTCTGACCCATATTTTCATCACTGAATCAATGAGGAATCCCAAACATGGGCTGCCACCCAGATCTTTTTCTGACTAAAGGATACACCCACCTGGTAATCACACAGGGCATTACAATACAGCAGGACCAAAATTAACTTATTATTGCCCTCTTGTCCTGTCCTACCATCTGCCTCCTACACAATCCTTTTATTACCTCTTGTTATGTATTTCAGTGACTGGGATCAAATTCCATTCAGCCACTCAAGCAAGAAACCCACTGTCACCTTTGACCTGTCTCCTTCACAACCCCAAGATCTAGTCATTCATCAAGTCCTATTAGTTCTACACTTAATAGTTATGAAGGCTGCCCCTCTCTTAGAAAGCGTTATTGCCTTGCTTACCCATATAATTCATTAGTTGCCTCCTTCACACAAATAACACTCTTTATCTAACCTATGCCCCACATTGTCTGGCAAACTCCCAGTCATTTCTCAGGGCTCAGTTTAAGTTGAACTTTTTCCTGGAAACTTTCCCCAAGGCACAGGAAAGTCCAGTTCCTTTCTAAGTGCACACATCCTTAGTTCTTTGGGCTTACTTTGTCATAACATTTGTCATAGTTCCTTGTAATTATATATACTTAGTTGCTATTTAATGGCTTATAGACACCAGGACGCAAAATCCTTGAGGAGACAGACTATATCAAGTTTACTCATATACTCCCAGAGCCCAGAGCCTCACACAGTGCCTGGACCATAATAGTTATTGAATAACTTTATTCAACAAATATTACTTGAGCATCTACCATGGAGCTGACACAGTGTTAAGTTCTCAGTTTATAAATGATACTTGGTTTCTATATTCATAGACTTATGGGCTGGGAAAGATGGATTAAATGAACTAAACCAAACAAATACATGAATGCACACATGAATGAATATATGAATGAGTGAGTGAATAAAGCCCACAAACTTAGATTAGGACTAATTTGTCCACAGAGTAGAGCATTTGCTGCTCTTCTGTTTTGGAATTGCTCTTCTTTATCAGTGGGCAAAATTATAGATGATGTAGCCTAGAGTTAGGGAATAAGAAAATGCATTTTCCCAAATCTAAGTTTAGCTGAGAGTCACAAACACCCTCATACATTCTTCTTGGAATTACTCAAGAAAAAACAGGATTTCACCTCTTGACATCCAACAAGAAAGAGGAGGAGAGAAGGAATAAGTAGGAATCATGCAGCAGAAAGAACTCTCCAAAGGGGGCTGGCTACAGCAGCGGGTGGCAAGAACAGGGTCTCTTGGGCCCTAGCAGAGAACAACAAGGAAGAAATAAACTTTACCTACATCAGATGGTTTTACATGGCTCAAATTAAGGTGACCTTGAAAGAAAGCACGCATGCCTGTGACCCTTTGTTACCTCATCTCTAAACTGGGGATTACTGGTTGTAAAGATTAAACAAGATCATATTTAAAAAGCATTGTGCGACAAGAGTCTTCCATAAACTGTGTACTACTTAGCTTTTAATTTTGTCCTTTCCTTTCAATGGCTAATTGCTGCTTCTATTTAACTTCTTCTTTGTTTTAACTCCCTCTCCTACAGCTTGCCCTACCTGTGGCTGCAACCCATGAGGACAGAGCAAAAGCCACCATTGGTCTTAGCGGGCAAGATCTATAGTGTCACATTTGGAAGCCTAAGGAATGATTTCCAGGACTGAAACCAGAACTTTTTATGCAATAAAGGCACAGGGTATGAAGGCACAGTTTATGGTATGTTAATCGTTTGTGCATGCAACTTGACATGAAGTAAACTGGAGAATCTCATAAACCCTGTTCACACCTACAGGTGGTAGGATTCCTAGTGAATACTCTCCAGAATAACTGTATAGCAAGACTGTACTGTATATCAGAGGTGGAGACCATATTTTCACTAATATCATTTTTAATCCTTCCTTTTAGTTCCAGAATATACCTACAGCTACCTACTTTACAAACTACATTTCTCAACTCTCTTTGCAGCTAGGTATAGTCATATGACTCAATTCTGCCCACTGGACTGTGAAATGGAAATGAAGCACTTTTCAGGTGGCAATTCGGACCCAGCAAAGTCATATTTTCATCACTTTTAAGTACCTTAAAAAGAACTTACTTGACCTCTACTCCTTTATCTGTCCTTCCTTGTTCTGAGAAAGTAACCCAGACATGAAAGGTGAGTACTGAGGATGGAAGAGACACACCAGAATCTCTAAACTACCTCTCAACAGTTCTCATGAGAAAGAAAAATAAAAATTCTATTTTATTTGACCTACTACGTTTATGAATCTTTTACAGCAGCATTACCTATACCTTAACTATTCACATAAATCAATCAGAAAACCAGCAGTGAACAAGAATGAAAATGCTACCTTGTATATCTGAAGGAGTACATCTGTCCATGCCCGCTTACTCCAGGCTTCAAACTTAGTCATATTGATAACAATAGAATGGTTTTCCTTAGGTATATAGGAAAATGCAGGCGAGGTACTAGCGGAAGACTTTAAGAAATAAAGTATTACATTAATTAAAATGCAAGGTAAATGTAAGTCCAAAGTTTTAACTGCTTACCTAGCATACAAATTTTTCTTTTTATAAACCTTTGCATGCTCATTTTCTACATCCATCATGACCTCTAATTCCCACATGCCAGTAATTGGAACTATCAATACAGGTGACTTTCTGGAACAGATAGTCCCTTATGGAAGTCACAGATTTATTCATTCAGTACATCTACTAGCTCATTCTGTATCAGAAGCAGCAGAATGACATGCAAAGATATTCTGAACCTCAAACCGTAACCCACCCTTGGGATAAGCCACAGGAACTCAGCTGAGTGCCAAAGGGCAGGCCCCTGGCTCTTCTTCTCATGTCACATGGGAAGTGCCTCAACTAAAGCAGAGTTACCTCAAAACCTGCAGGCTTCTCCAAATAATCCCCCTTCTCAAAAGGTTTCCATAAGATGAACTGTATAGTTTGAAAAAACTATGCATATCCTCTACGTTTTCTTGCAATTTTCCCCTTAAAACTGAATTAGAGTAGTGGCAAGTGGTAGGGAAATTAAACCAGTACCTTCCTTGGAAGACACATATTCTAAACATTTATTGCAAGAAAAAATTTGCATAAGCATACACCACCTTCATTTCTAAATCCCCTAAAAGAAGCAGTTACTTATATTTTTAAGAAAGCCATGTAATCATTTCTATGTAGGAACTATACAGAGATTTTTAGACAGATAAAAAAAATATATAGAATGCCCAGAAAGACATGCCTTAAAATATTCCATAAGTAAAAAATCAAGCATTCTAAAATGAAATCTCTTAACAAACACAAAACGAGTGAATTCAATAATAACTGTGCAGATTGTTCTTAGAAATTATACTCCCTTACTGTAATTTCAATCCACTTCTTATAATCTTCTGGTTCAAGCAGAAATTCTGGCAGTACATGAGAAATACATGCTCCTTGAGCACTACAATCAAAAAAGAAAAATCTAAATTATTATGGTATAATACTCAAGATCTATATATCACTTGCATTTGAAGTTCAATTATCTCAATGCTATATAGTTTATATGGTTTATATACACAGTGAATTTTAATTTTCAAATTTTAAATTTATATTAATTTTTTAAGTTTCCTTAACAATAAAACATGCATATGACATTTCCTTTAGAGAACCATAATGAGAAAGAACTTATTACATGCCCATTATTATCCACATCCACCTTATATGTTAATTGGATGTAGAGTTATATGACTTGGCCCTTACTGTCAAGGGACTAACCATTTTGCTTCTGTTGTAACATTGTAAAAATGAAAAACACCTGGGAAAAGTTTGAATATAATAAAACACCTACTAGATCATTAGTTATACAATGTTCACTGAATGCCTATCACCACATACGCTTGAATATAAAAACCCCCAAAATAATCCATCATCTATTTTTCCAAAGAATACTAAAAAATATTGGCCTTTTTGATTATATAAACTTGTAGTAGTATATCTGAAGCAGCAAATATTTATAATATTATATAAATATATATAGTGTTTACATTTTATACACTTAAAAACATAACTGTATATAGATTTCTATATATTTATCACATTTAAGATTATATTTTTTTACTGTCATATTTTTTGAAGTATTTTTATCCAAAGTCTTCATATGCATGTCAATCACCATCAGAACCACTTTATAGACACCTAATACAGTTTTGACAGAAGTGTGTCCTAGTCTGCTTTTGCTTGTTTCGGTCTAATTCATTTAGTGAGCACAGAACACCACATGCCATAAGCATTCATCAGAGAGTGCCACATCTAGTGCTTAACTCTGACACCCTCAGCAGTTTGCAGTCCTGTATCTACTGAGAAGTGGAAAAAAGAAAGGGCAGGAAGGAGCCCTAAGATTATTCTGAAAACTCAAACCTTATAGATAGCACAGATGAATGTGAAGAGAGAAGAGAGGAAGGGAACCCTTGGGGTAGTGGAAGCAGACAACACAGTTCTGGAGTTGTTAAGTTTGACATGGCCTTGGGCCAGTAGAAGCTAGTGCAAGAAATCGTGCTACATACATAAAAGCTCCTTTGTTTGGAAGTCGAATATCATCCCTTCTCTTTGATTTTCACACATTTCTTGTCTGCATTTATATTACTCTTATGAATCCTCATTACACTGGAATTACTACAGGTTTATTAAATCTATTAGGTTGTTTACAAGTGGATTGTTTTGAGCTGAAGGCAATTTGGACCCAGCAGACTCAGGGAAAGCTTTTTACCATTCCTGTAACTGCCTAAGTGAATTTACAGAGGGAGTCTATTAGATGTTTAATAGAACATAGCTCCTTAGCAGGAGTAGCTGAACTAAGTCTACATAAGAACTCCATGAGATGATGCCCTCTTAAGTTGAAATCCTAGAGGTGAAACAAAGACAGATAGTCCAGAGACACAGGAAGAAACTGGAATACTTCCTTGCATCCAAAGCTAAGACAGGATCTCAGGAGGAAATAATCACTTGTATCAACTCCTACTGAGAACCTGGGGAAACTATCAGGGGACCGCTAAGCTGAGAGCTTCTTGAGGAGGGAGACCACCTGGTGTTCATTGGAGTATTCTGTAGTGTCCAGCAGAGTAGGCCCTCAGTAAAAAGTTGAGGATGAAGAATGCATTTTTGCATTGATAAAGACAACAGGCCCAAAATGGAGTTGCTTATGCTAAGCCCCAAGTCACCAAGTGAAGACTTGGTGGGTGTACTTTATTATGGTTTTGGCTATCCCAGAAATAGAATCTTAAACCAGTCAGTCAGGAAGCTCCTGATCAGCATTAGCTAGGTAATATACCTGATAGGTCCCTGCCATCCCCTAAAGGAAAATAACCTTGCAATAATAAACGTGCTTTTTTGTTATAGTGTTGGATTTTTCCCTTCTTCCAATCTAGATACTTTGGCTGGTCTAATGACCAAATTAACATAAAACAGATTAACAGGAAAAAAAAAAGAATGTAACTGTGTATAAACTGGAGCCCCACTAAGACCTGAAGACTGAGAGGCAGTTAGGCAACTGAGCCTTATCTACCATCCTGAACTAAAGAGAAGGGTTTTAGAGGTCTGGACCTTCAAAGGGGAGGAAGACAATTCACAGGAAGATGAGAAGAGCAAATGTTTGGTAATCAGATGTTTTCTGTGTGATGTAGCTAAGTTTTTCTAATATACAAAGTTACCTCTGGTAATAGCTCTTTTCCTGATTCAGACTCCCTCTGTAAATTCACTTAGGCAGTTACAGGAATGGTAAAAAGCTTTTCCTGAGTCTGCTGGGTCCAAACTGCCTCCAGCTCAAAACAATCCCCTTGCCAAAGTGGCGCTTTTTGGGGTAATGCATTCACTTGCTCTCATTGCCTAACAACTTCTTTGTTCTTGTTCCCTTTTGCTGTAACATCTCTTGCCTTGTACAGGTCTCCAGAAATCCCTTCTATCTGTTAGATTGGATACTGCCCAACACATGAATTGCTGAATAAAGCCAATAAGAACTTTGAAATTTACTCAGTTGAATTTTGTTCTTGACTGCATTTTATAGACACTGCTATGAAGTGAAGGGTAGCAGAACATGCCACATGAAGATATGCCTTGTTGCCATATAGATTTTGAGAAACTGCAGACACAGGAAAAGCTCTGAAAACAGAGTAGAATTTACCCTTTTGTAAGGGAAATCTATGTTTATAAAGGAAATTTACATTAGAAAGTGGGCCTGTACCAAGAGAGAACTATTACCAGAGATTACTTATATTTGAGAGACTTATCTACAAGGCAGAGCAACTTTGATTTACCAAAATTTTCCTGTGCTCACTTTCCAGGCCCCCCACCTGACAACCACCCACTACACCCCCAACTCACCCCACCACTGCTCCACATAGAGCCTTTGAAGCCCTAGACTTCCATCCCTTTTCCTTAGATGGTACACAAGCCTCAGTCTTCTTCACCGCTTTTTAAGTCTTAAATCTTTCTGGGGCTACCTAACTTATGAGTGCAATTAAAAAATGTTTTGTTTTTTCTCCTGTTAATATGTCTTTCTATTATAGGGGGGTCTTAACTAAGAACCTAGAAGGGTAGGAGGAAAATCATTTTTCTGCCCCTACAAGAGACTTGTTTCCCTCATCTCGTTTAGAATCTATCTCAAGGGCTAACTTCATCAGTCCCTAAGACAGTATTTACAGTAAAGTTTTGTCAATAGGTTTTATGTCTGATCAGGAGTTTTACAGATAGTTGACTTTCATAATTGAATTGATTACAGTTTTACATGCTAGGTTCTCCATTTGAATATTTCTTCCGAGTCTACACTGAGTAGAACAAAACAAAATCAGATGCAATGAGTTATTAAATTCTAAAGTTAATCTCCAAAAATTATAGTTTTTAACTTACTGTACAAAATCAACATAATTTCACTCATACAAAAGTCCTTACTCACTGTCATCAAATTTAAATGGGGAAGTAACAACATTTATTTTGAATTTAATACAGGGAAGCTAAGAACATTTATTTTGAATTCCAAACATATATTTACATGATGAAACGTATGCACATATGTAGGGAAAAATGGAAATTTCATGGCCAGGATTCTCACATGATTCTAATCTTGCCCATTGTATATGTTCAATGAGGTAATATTTAGCCTGTTGTACAGGTGCCTACTTACATACCTGTTGGCAGTATGCTACTAATGGCTGGTATTGCTTTAAGAACAGTTCTACCCAGTAATAGGGCAGAGCTAGAAGCAGAAGCAGAGAGCCTAGAAAGAAGGGAAGAGAGAAGCAGAAAAATGGAGTCTAGAGCAGAGTGAAGGAGAGGGAAAAGCAGAAGAGTTCCATGCTAGGAAGAGAAAAGGAAGACTGGATAAGAGGGGAACAAGAGGGAGCAGAGACAGAGCCACAAGCAGAGGCAGCACCTGGGGAGCGGAGGCTGGAGACAAGGCAGAAACTGAGACCTGTGGGCAGAAGTCTAGTGTTCAACCTACTGCCATGAGAATAAAGCTTGGTATGAGCCCCTTTTTACCCACAATGTTCCATTGTTATTCAGTCTTACCAAATTCATAGTGGATTTGCCCAGAGTTGGGAAACACCTCTGCCCACAACTACAACATATCTTGGATCAATGAACCAGTTTTATTAACCATACTATCACATTCTAAATACTGAGAAATTTTATTGTAGCCAACATATCCTGACAGGCATGTGCTTACTGATAAAAGAGCAATACATTTGAATAGCTTGGCTTTAATTCCAAAATCATTCTTCCATACCTGCATCCTCACACCATAAAATGTCAAAACAGAAACCACCTATATTAATGTCAACACTACTGGCAGCTGTACTAACACCAATGTTAAAAGAATAGCACAGATCAGTGCCATAGAGTTTAAAGATGCCATAAGAAAACTGACTTCTATAATGCACAAAAAATAAAGATTTATTTAAATATCCAAACTTTTCTTTTGCTCACAGTTAATATTTCATTAGATTTTAAAAGCACAACTAACTTTCTAAAATAAGAATGGCATTAGAATTTTTGCCTTATTGAATTAAAGTGTTTACTGTATTGAATCAATCATCAAGGACCAAAAGTAGGAAGCAGTAAAATTAAAAGAAAGGTCATGTGCTTTGTATTTCAAACTTGCAAAAATTTCAAATTTCCATTTTATCTGATTAAGACCATCTGATAAACACTGTTTTCCGGTGTTTTTATGTCAACAAAAAACATGTACTTCTGAGATTCAAGATGGCAGTGTGAGAGGTGAGACAGAGAACTCTTCCCACAACCACATACAGTATGAAAATATAGTCAATACAACAAGCCATAAAACAGCAACAGGAAAGAGGGCTGAACCAGACTGCATACAGACCTCACAAACAGAGCAGACCTCATGAAACAGGGTGAAATACCAAAGCCTTGATCTGCTGGGAACAAAGCCTTTCCCCCACCCCA